AGGAACGTAGACCAGACCCTGCAGGCCATTGGAGGGGACAGCACCAACACGAACACAGGGTGGCAAGGGGGGTCATACAGTGGATGGATTGTTTGTGACCTCCACACCAACGAGTTGCCACTCAGACATCTGATCCAGGAGCTGGATGGCAAGACTCTTTCAAACAACAGATGGTCTGGTCCTCTTGGCAAGATGCTGGACTCTGCCACTGAGTTAAAAATAAATCCGAGCTTTGAAAAAATCACAGTTGGCCCTCCACTCGTTGAGCTTGCACATACTGTCATTGACGACCTGAGTACTGACCAGTACTATGGTTACATGATTTGCAGTGCCATCAAAACTGGGGTCATGCCTGATAGACTTGCTTACCTGCAGATAGGTCCAGTCTCACATTATAGGTGGCTCACAACGGCTCTCAGGTTCTGCAGAATTTGGGTCGCTCATCTATAAACTGAAAGAGACAGCTTCACAACCTGGGGCTTGGTAATCCAATTCATCGTGGAGTGTCTACTTGCCAAATTGGTTCCAACACCAAGGTCAAGTCATCGTTCTCGAAGGTCCGAGGCATCATTCTCTTCCAGCTTGAGCTCCTGAGGTCAGCCAGAAGGTTGTTCAGGTGTGGAGCAGACTGTGAGGAGATCTTCCTGGTATGCTCATCCCGAGGCGGTTCTGCAGGTGTGCTCCTGCAATGAGGATGAGAGGAGAGAGAAAAGTGGCAGTCAAGATCTTGGATATGAGACTTATATGGGAGGATCTGGGCACTGATGACGAATCAGTTGGTGACATTCCTTCAGGGCAGGAAGACTCCTGAAGTCCATCTGGGTGCAGACCCTCACTAGGTCTGTGATCGGACATCCAGGCTGGCAGTGAGCCCCCGCTTACCTGCAGCCTCACCAATGTTCAAGTCAGAGCTTTCCTGGACAACCCCATGCATGTCCCTGCCTGGCCCTCGCACACCCAGAGTATAGAGCGTTGTGTACAGCAAGTGAGCGAGGCCAGCAGTCACGTGTACAGCCAGGAGAGGAGGGAAGGCTACATCCGAGCTCAGGTGGTCAGCAGGGAGGTGATGAGTAGAAACAGAAGCAAGAAAGACATGTTCTCTATGGTGTGCAGCAACACCGGGTCGTAGTAGTAAAACCGGTTTTTGTATTTGATGATTTTGTTTTCTAAAGGAATATTAAATTTAATAAATGTGTCAAGATCATTCGTTTCACTATTCTGGATCATTTTCATCCTAATAAATTACCTGATACATTTACTTTACTTTAAATAAGCTATTTAGTGGTGTTGGTAAAAGGGTGGGAATACTGAATTTTCATAAGATTTCAAGTTAAAATTTACCTAGCAAAAAATGAAAACTTTTCAAATCTGAAGATATCACATGATTCTGCACATAGAACTACATCATTAATACCATGGGCCGATTTTTCAAACTCAAAAAAAAAAAATTCGCCTCCGTGTGACACACCCTAATAGCCAGTCCACTGTAGTTGTTCATGAATAATGGTAACCTCGATGCTCCTACAGTTGGTGTTAACGAAAATACTGGTATTTGTTCTCTTGTCTTCCCAGCGAACTCGGTGACTGGAACGTAGACTGCGTTGGTGAAAGTTTTCAAGTGCCCTGAGGTGCCCCCCTGAATGTGACCATGTCTCGCTGTCATATAGGAAGGTAGAGAGGACCATTGCTCGATATACGTGAAACTTTGTATATAATTTCAGCTCCCTACAGTACGGAGTCTGCTAAAGGCTAGAGATGCACTTCTGATCCGATGTTGAATCTCTTCATCGGAATTAGGTTATTTAGCCCACAAGTCATTTCGCCCACACTATGGAGTCGGTTCGCCCACAAGTCATTTTACCTACAGCTAGAGTAGATTCGCCCACACCTATTTTGTTACCTGTTTTATTTAGGTTTAGTAATGTCTTAGTGTAAAGAAATTACTTCAATAAAGTTTTCGAAACTATGAAAATATCGTCTGTAGGTTTCGTAATTGTTAAAGTCCAGCGGATTTAGTCTGCAACATGATGACGGAACATACAAGTACCTGCGTAAATTGATGTCCCTTCCGTTTCTGCTCGAGGTACAAATAGTTCCAATGTTCGAACGTCTCCAGCGCCAAGCCATCACAGCCCCACCACAAACTATGGTAGATTATATATCAAGAACATGGATCCATAGCTCCATATGGCCATCATCCAGCTGGAGTATTTTCAACCGATCCCTGCGTACCAATAATGACATTGAAAGATGGCGCAACCGACTGAATAAACGTACTGCCGGAAGATGCCACCTTCAGTTTTATCTGCTTGTTAACCTTCTCCACAAAGAGGCCAGATTAACCTCTGTACATATGAGGCTGGTATCAGGAAATAAGCTCCGAAGGATCTAGCGAAGAAAGTATGGGGAGTTGCAGGCCAAAATATTCGCTCTTTGAGGAACGAGAGGTCAGCTTGTCAAATTCTGAGAGCTTATGCCCATCTCAATGGACCAGTCAGCAGCTGATATGTGACCAAATATCCCAAATCCTCTCTATGTTACTTCTATGATTGACATTTTAAAACTGTTTAGTTTGTGTATTTTATATAGGTTTTTTTATATTTGAAAGTCACCGAATAAACAACCTGAGACTTAATTTGTATATATTACATTGTTATCTAGTACATGGATAAACATAAATAGAAATTAACAAAGTGTGGGCGAACTGACTTCAGGTGTGGGCGAACCGACTCCTAAGTGTGACCCAATAAACTAAAAATGTGTGGGCGAATGGACTTGTGGGAGAATTGACACGTAAACCACTTCATCGATGTCCGAGGTGGTGGTCAGGTGGGTACCGAGTTACTGAAAGTGGGTAACATTAGAGGGTAGTAACGTTACGCTGAATGGATGGTGGAGGTGTGGCTGAACCAGGAGCAGGCTGGAAGAGAATCTAAGTCTTACGTACATTCACCTCAAGGCCAAAGTGTGCATACGCATCTGCGTAGGTGTTCAGGATATCCTGTAGGTCGCGTTCAGTGTGAGCAACGAGAGTAATGTCGTCTACATACTAAAGTTCAGTAATGGAAGCTGCCGACACCTTTGTTCCTGCCTGCAGTCGTCTTATGTTGAAAAGACCCTTCATCCTGTACTCGATGTCCACCCCACCGGCTAAATTGGCACTAGCACGAGTAGGAAGGCAGCCAAGAAAATGGAAAAGAGAGTTGGTGCCAGTGCACATCCATGTTTTACCTCCGTTTGAATGGGGAAGAAGTCAGACTGGGTGCCGTTGTGCAGGACTGCCGTTCAGGCCTTCGTGGAGTTGCCCCACAATGGCGATGAATTTTGGTGGGCAGCCAAAACGGCTGAGGGTCCACCAGAGGGCTTCCCTGTTGACTGAGTTGAAGGCATCAGGCACTATCCTCGACACCGGCTCCTACTACCACCTGAGATCCCTAGCCCGAGAATTGCTGTTCGACACCACAACCGCATCCAGCCCATACGTGCACGAACTGATCGCTATAAGAACAGCCCAGTCCCAACCATTGTAAATATTATCAATAACTTGTAATAAACTAGTGTATTCACTCCCAGTAAACACTACTCCTTGCACTGTCACTATGTGGAAATGAACTGTAGTTTGAGCTTTTCCCCATCTAGTTATTATATATCTTATTTGTATCACTTATGTTACTTGTATATTATTTGTAATTCGAAACCCATTCCCCAAATATGTAACTGTATATTTTCAGCCTTCTGGCTGCCAAGCTCTTTCAATAAACCGTTAATTATTATTATTATTATTATTATTATTATTATTATTATTATTATTATTATTAACAGTGAGACTAGAGGCGTCACACAGTGTAACAGTAACAGTGAGGCTGGAGGCGTCACACAGTGTAACAGTAACAGTGAGACTGGAGGCATCACACAGTGTAACAGTAACAGTGAGGCTGGAGGCATCACACAGTGTAACAGTAACAGTGAGGCTGGGGGTATCGCATAGTATAACAGTAACAGTGAGACTGGAGGCCTCACACAGTGTAACAGTAACAGTGAGGCTGGAGGCATCACACAGTGTAACAGTAACAGTGAGACTGGAGGCCTCACACAGTGTAACAGTAACAGTGAGGCTGGGGGTATCGCATAGTATAACAGTAACAGTGAGACTGGAGGCCTCACACAGTGTAACAGTAACAGTGAGGCTGGAGGCATCACACAGTGTGTAGTGAGGCTGGAGGCATCACACAGTGTGCTGGAGTGAGACTGGAGGCTCACGCAGTGTAACAGTAACAGTGAGGCTAGGGGTATCATAGTATAACAGTAACAGTGAGGCTGGAGGCATCACACAGTGTAACAGTAACAGTGAGACTGGAGGCATCACACAGTGTAACAGTAACAGTGAGGCTGCAGGCATCACACAGTGGAACAGTAACAATAACAGTGAGACTGGAGGCATCAGTCAGTGTAACAGTAACAGTGAGAGCGGAGGCATCACACAGTGTAACAGTAACAGTGAGGCTGGAGGCATCACACAGTGCAGCACAACAGTGAGACTGGAGGCATCAGACAGTGTAACAGTAACAGTGAGAGCGGAGGCATCACACAGTGTAACAGTAACAGTGAGGCTGGAGGCATCACACAGTGTAACAGTAACAGTGAGGCTGGAGGCATCACACAGTGGAACAGTAACAATAACAGTGAGACTGGAGGCATCAGACAGTGTAATAGTAACAGTGAGAGCGGAGGCATCACACAGTGTAACAGTAACAGTGAGGCTGGAGGCATCACACAGTGGAACAGTAACAATAACAGTGAGACTGGAGGCATCAGACAGTGTAACAGTAACAGTGAGAGCGGAGGCATCACACAGTGGAACAGTAACAATAACAGTGAGACTGGAGGCATCAGACAGTGTAACAGTAACAGTGAGAGCGGAGGCATCACACAGTGTAACAGTAACAGTGAGAGCGGAGGCATCACACAGAGTAACAAGAGGTAAGATATGGTGGACTTACCCTCTCCTCCACCACCACTGTCTCCCTCACGACCACCGGCCTCTGCTGTACCACTACTCGAGGCGGTGGTGGCTGCCTCTCCTTGATGACCACCTCAACGTTTGGCTGAGAAAATGTGTTTTGGTTATGATATAACCACATTATGAGGGTGATGGTGAATGGCATAGAAATATAGATTGTATGTATAAGGATCCTCGTCAACATTATCTTATATATGAGAAAGGGGTAAATCGCTCCATAGATATCACCATGCTCGGAAAAACTCGGTTATAATACCGTACTGTACTCAGGGGCGTACCCAGGATTTCATCAAGGGAGGGGGGGGGGGCGAATTAACTACGAACTTAGATTGGTAATATTATGTTGGAATCCAGGAATGTGATTGCAAATTTGCTAGCACAGTCACTAACTTGTAGGCCTATTTTACTTATTATCGTTATACAATGATTCGTGCTAGGCACGAATACATACTTCACAAACTAACTTATTAACACTTTGTAAAACAATATCCTTCTTTACTTGATAATCACAGATAAGCGTGCATATCGGTTAGCCTTTTTTATTACCTAATCACAAGGAGGTACTAAAAAGAAAGTATGAATGAAGTAAAATCTTAAAAGAACACAAAAATTATTATCAAATACAGCATGTACAAATTGAAAAAAAAAGCTACTTAGCATTTTCAAACTCTTTCATAGTAAGCACAGTACATATACACAGAAATCCCCCTGTGATATATCAAATTCAATTTACCTCATTAGGACTCGAAACTGGTACACTGAGAATAGGTATCCCAGCTGTTACCACTGCACTACGACCCTTAAAACCTTGTTTGTAAGGTTTTAGGGGTCGTAATGCAGTAGATTTCTTTCGAGCAAAATTATCAAGAATCAAAGGGGCGTCATCTAGACTGAGTTTATTTTTGTTTGTAGCCATTAGGGCCAAACTTGACAATCTATCTTCATTTATGGTGTTACGCAGCCAGGTTTTTAGTCTCCGTAGAAGCGAGAATGATATTTCAGGGCTTGCAGTTGTAACTGGTTGGACAGCAATAACCTACAGCAATCTGTTTGTGACAGGAAAGCTGTTGCTGTCACATTTTACTAGGGCTGAGATAGCATATGTGGGCCTAGGATTGTGAGGTGCTAATTTCCACATTTCTGCCGAAACATCCCATTCTCCTAGAGCTTGCTGAAGTGTAGCGTGAGGTAAGCTTTTACTCCAAAACGTATCCGCCTTTTCAACATCGCCGTATTGGTACTTTGGTGAATTTCCATCTCTGTACTTAGGTATAAGAAATCCAAGTTCCATAGCCTGTTGTGTGTGTTTAGTAAATCTATCTGCCAAATTTTGCAGTGTGTCATATAGAAATGGGATGAATATTGTGGCCCTAAAGAATGACTCAGCATCTTCTATATCTACATTAGATCTGTGAATTTGCCTCGTGCAACTGCGTCTGGGTATACAGGTAGTGTCACATCACTTTGCTGACTGCTCCAAAACACCATGGAACACTGCATCTGCATTTTCCCGGCAGCTGCGAAGTGCTTGCATTACTGACTGGATTAGGTCAACATTGTTGATAATGCACTGCACAGCACTTTGTTATTCAGCAATCTTTACTGATATAGTTACGGTATACAAGCCCCACGGCTACATATTTACGAAGGATAGGTAGCCTAATAGCAACTGGAAATACTATTAGTCACTAGTGGCTGAACAAACAATGCATATTACAGACAGTTCAATTATTGTAGGCAATACAGTATATAAGATTATAGCATGTCATAAACATTCTCTATATCACTTTTCACTATATTCATGATTCATCTAACACGCCTAAAAAAAAACATGGATGCGTAAACACCTTTCAATCATTTATGATACTTTTTATATCACAATTTATAAAATCACTGCAGTCGTCATTGATGAGTACTGTATAAACACACTATATACCACATTTCGCCTGTAAGTCATATGAAACGATAAATATAGGCATGCAGGGTGATGCAGCAAAGATATTACCTGTATGTAGCACTACACGCTACTGACCAATGCCCTGAGGCAGTTTAAACACAATTGAGATATGCGCCAGGCCGCCGGTGGCACGACGGACATTCGTTGAGCTAAAAACAAACAAACTAATTTTTCCTTGGAAGGAACTAAATGGGTGAATTTGGCCAATGTTTCTGATATTTTGATTTATAACTTAAGTATTTTTTGAGAAAGTTTAATGAAAAAAAGCTCAAGGGGGGGGGGGGGCGATAGCCCTCCCCTTCTTCGGTACACCCCTGATTCTGTACCCTACAACAACTAGATTTAACGGCGAGTGATCGAGAGATGCTGCTGTTGTTATATGTTATTACTGCGCTTCAACAATTTTGTATTTAAGCGCATAACAAGGTTACAGTAGTAATTCTGGTATTCCAACAACATTTAAACAAATTATGAGAGATAAAATTCTCTAGAGTGAGAAAGGTGTACATTTTTTTTTTACTTTTATCCTCTTCGACACTGATCGGCTCGTTAGCCGCTTGGGCGATCGGTCACGTCTCTGATTACTTTCCTTTTCAATTATCCTCTTCACCAAAAGATCGGCTCGCTAGCCGCCCGGGCGATCGGTCACGTCTCTGTCACGCACTGTGGCAAATACTGGGCATGCACCGGCTCCTGAATGTACCTGAACCCGCTCCAGTGTTGGTCAAGTCTTGTCTTGAAAGAGTTCGCACTCGGTGCCGTCACAACACTCTCTGGTAGATTGTTCCAAGAGTTTACAACCCTCACTCCGAAAAAGTTTGTCCTCACAGTTTTCTGGACTTGCGGCTTCTTGAATCTCGAGCTGTGACCCCTTGTGGGGCGAGCGTCCGCCAGCTCCAAGTAAGGACACTCGACTGAGTAGTGGCCCCTGAGATGCTTATACACCTCAACTAGGTCACCCCTTGCCCGACGGTAATATAAGCTAGGCAAGTTCAGGCGCTCCAATCTCTCAGGATAGCTGAGGTGCCGAAGTGCAGGCACCAGTCTGGTGGCCCTCCTTTGAAAATTTTCAACCAACTGACAGTCCCTAGCATATCTCGGGGACCAGACGGGGTCACAGTACTCCAGATGGGGAAGCACTTCACTCTTGAAGATCGTTACGAGGGACGGACCGTCTAGATATCTGAACGACCTTCTTATAAGACCCAGTAATTTATTTGCCTGGTTTACCTTCTTCTCGCAATGGCCCAAGAACTTCAGCTCATTGTCAACATACACACCTAGGTCCTTCTCACATTCAATCTCAACTAGTATAGTGTCTTCATCCCGTTGGGACATATGATACGCCTCCTTACCGTTGGTACGCCCCAGGTGCATCTTCTTACACTTCGTGACATTGAATCTCAGCAGCCATTCCTTCGACCATTCCTGGAGCCCACAGAGGTCCTTCTGCAGCTCTTCACAGTCAGCTTGGTTCTTAATTTCAAGAAATAACTTAGCGTCATCGGCAAACATTTGTATGGAAGAGTGTACAACGTCAGGCATATCATTTATGAAACAAACAAACAACAGCGGGCCCAATACATTGCCCTGTGGTACCCCACTTGTGACAGGTACGGATGACGATTTCGTGCCATTAATCACCACACACTGCTTGCGGCCATGTAGAAAGTCTTCTATCCATGCAAGGACATTTCCCCGAATTCTGTACCCTTCCAGTTTGATTTTCAGCCTTTCATGGGGTACACTCTCGAAAGCCATGGCAAAATCTAGGTAAATATTGTCGATATTACCACCCCGTTCCAGAATATGGGTCCAAATATCCAATACCTTGAGCAATTGTGTTAAGCAGGAGCGCCCCGGCATAAAACCGTGTTGGTAATCCTTTACAAGATTGTTTCGTATTAGATGTTCCATTGCGGCATCTCTGATAATACTCTCAAGTACCTTACATATTATGCTGGTCAGGCTCACTGGTCTATAGTTGTTCGTGGAGTGACAATCGCCCTTCTTGAAGAGAGAACTCACATAAGGCACTTTCCATTCACTGGGGACCATTTGTTCATCCAGGCATTTACAAAACAGGATCTTCAGGGGCTCTGCAAGCTCGTTGCACAACTCTCTTAGCACTCTAGGATGCACCATAATCAGGGCCGGGACTCTTATGGACTTTTAGCTTTGACAGTTTATTTCTATTACCCTCTTCTGTGAACACAATGTGGGTCAGTACTGTGTCGAACCGTCTGTCCTCAAACGCAGGAAAGTTAGTTGCATCCTCTCTTGTGAACACCGAGGAAAAGAAGCTGTTCAATGCCTCAGCTTTATCCTGGTCAGAATCTGCGTAACTACCATCCACAAGCCTCAGGTCTGATGCTCCTACTCGCGTTTTCAATTTCGACTTTGCATAGCGGTAAAACGCCTTTGGGTTTGACTTGACCTCGCTTGCAACCAGCCTCTGGAACTCGTTTTCAGCCCTCCTACACTCTATCTTTGCTTGGTTTCTGGCTCTTGCATACATCCTCCTGTCTTGCTCATCGTTTGACCCAACCCACGTCTTGAATTTCTGGGTTTTCTTCTTAATTTTGTCGACCGCCGCATGGTTCATGTGTAGGAATCCCCTCGTATTCCCAGAAGCACTGGGTTTGGTCTTAGGTATGTATTTATCGATCAAATGGGTCACTTTACTAGTTATGATATTTAGCGTAGTGTCCGCGTTCTTGTACCTTAATGAATCAGGCCAGTTGATACCACTCATTTCTTCCCCCATCCCGTTGTAATTCCCTTGTAATATGTGCACCTTGGCCCTTATGGCTTGCAATCGCCTCATTCACCTTGACTATGCAGCCAGGGCAATACCAGCAGCAGCCATCATGCTTTACGGCACTTAGTAACTTCCTAAACGTTGCATTAGTCAGGCCTGTATCCTCCATATCCGACGTCTCCCTGCAGTAATCACATAACAAACTCATGGTTGTTGTTGTGGGTGTGGGGTGGGGCAGGGGTGCAGACTGTGTATAGATCTACATCTATTTAAAAAAAAGTAAAGAGAGAAAAAGAACAGTACTTAGCTACTCTCTGTTGCCTATAGAGTTGTCGTCTGCGACTGCGTACACTGTATCTCCCTGTGA